TGTTGAGTGCAGTAAAAAAGAATGTATGTGGAATGCTGTTTTTTCTCTAATATGAGCAGTGGCGGTTAAAGTCAACAGAGAGACTTAAACAGTAAACGGAACTGAACTACTTCAAAATTTTAGCAGGGTGACCCTTCCTTCTAAGTTGCCAGTGACTTAAAAGTTTTCTTTAGTAGTTAAGTTTCTCCAAAAAGCCGTAAAAATTTTAATTTTGGATCAAAACAGACTGATATTGTTACATTAACTATGCACAAAATATAATACACAACCAGCCATATAATAAAGGCCAGCATTCATCTGATCATTTAAAAACTATTTGTCTTTTATTAATTATTACATATATAAATAATACCATCTTTCATCAGGCCAATCTCAATTTATGCCTTGAAGTCTAAAACTGTTTTTTACTTTTTAATAAATTGAATTGAATCAAAGGTGATTGAGTTTAAAAAATTTGTGAAAACAGCAATTGTCAAACAAAAATTACTGCCAATTTTATGACTTATAAAGTAACACTTAATAAATGTAGTAAAAATTCTTCCTAAACAACATTTTTATTTCACTCATCCACAGTAAATTAATTTTTCAAACATTTTGAAGATGGCAGGAAGAAAGTATTGGTAATCTTCTGAAAGTTATTTTTATTATTAATTCTTGTAGTATATTGAGATTAGCTTGTGTGAAGGACTTAATGTCTAAATTCCTTGCCCCCTTGCACAACTTCAAAATTACATCAGCAAAGGCTAAAATACATTTAAAAATAATCTATTTTTTTAAATCTATCAATAAAAAATAACCTTTTAGGATATTTACCTGAAACTTTAGTTAATGAGACTTTTATATTTTGCCATACAAGCAAGTTGCCAGTAGTTTCACAAACTCTCATACTTAAAGGTATTTTTTAAAACATTTGGAATAGATGACAACATATGTCACAATTTTTGGGTGTCTATGTTATATAAATCTATTTATGTTAAAGAAGTTTTACATAACATGAAATATATAACAATATATAAAACTATCTACAACAATAATGACATCGATTTCCTTAAATTGAATTTTTACAACCCAATGCCCTTTACGACATTAACCAGTTTTGCAGATTAGGAATTTGTAACATAGAACATTCCATCAAGAAATAAAAAAATTAAAAAAAAAAAAAGTTTAAAAGAAGATTTAATCGAATATTCCATTTTTTAGAGGATAATAGGGGATTTTAGAGGAGATTTTTCAAAAAAGAAGACTTTAGAGGATCTTAGAACAGCTGTAACGACCCTGATATATATATAAAATTAATTTTAAATGTATTCTACAAATTTTTTTAATTCTGATTGTATATATATATATATATATATATATATATATATATATATATATATATATATATATATATATATATATATATATATATATATATATATATATATATATATATATATATATCTGCGTGTTTTGTGTAATGCAGCAGATTCATTAATTAAAAAAACAACTACTTTCAAAACAGTTTCTTTTAATTTTGCTATTACTGAATATATATATATATATATATATATATATATATATATATATATATATATATATATATATATATATATATATATATATATATATATATATATATATATATATATATATATATATATATATATATATATATATATATATATATATATATATATATATATATATATATATATATATACCTCATATTTGTTTTGGTATTTGTATTTATATTTCTTTATAATTTAATAAGCTAAGTCTAATTTAAAACAACTACGCAGCAAAAAATTCTGAAGGGAAGACACACGATATTCTAGAATTATGCAGGTATAAAGACTATGATGTCAACCCTAATCAAGTGATTGGATGAGCGTTTTAAAAGCATTGAAAAGAGAAACTCTTTATATACTGACGAGGCTGGTTGACTCACAATTTAAAACTAAATTCTCCTCATTACAGGCAACACTGACAGCTGAAAAAACAAGATTGAAGTCAATATGAGCATGCTGAACAGAAGATTGACAAAACTGAAGAAAATCCACCAAAATAAGCCGGGCTTAATAATTTTTCTACATCATCATCATCATTACTCTGGCAATTTATTAATAAAATTATTCAGGCTACGTCCGCTGGTGGCAGGGCACATAAACAACAATTACTAAAAGGCATTGAAACTCAGCTAAGGAAATATCCGAAAGAACCAGAAATAAATAGACACAATGATCCACTACAGTGGCGGAGTGACAAAATCCCGGAAAAAAAGTTCAATAGAATTACTATAAACTTTTAAAACATATGGCCTATAGAATTTCTTTAGAGTTTCTATTAATTTATATATAGAAATTGCTATAAAACTTTTTAAATAACAACAATGAAGTTTAACAGAAAACAGCAGTCACTTGGTATTCTGAATAGTTTACATTGTTGACCATGCTCAACACCAATTAGGGATGTACAGGATTTTGGCTCCTGTAGTTTTGTTTTGAAATCCGGCTCCGGCTCCGATTCCGGCCGAATCTGTCAGTAGAAATCCGGCAAATCCGGCTCCGGCCGGATTTGAAAAAATTAAATCCGGTACAGCCCTAGTTTATAATGTCACTAAATACCACTAAAAGACAACAAATAATTTTTTTTATGAATAATTTTTAAGATTTCACCAATTTATGCGTCTTTTTCCGAGACTTATTTATTTTATTTATTGGAAAACTCGTTCAAAAAAGCTCGCTTTAGTGTCACTCTTTTAACATTAATATAGGTAAAAACAGTTCAAAATTTAATTTGAAGTCATATGTTTAAGATTTTTGATAACTATTAACAATATTTTTAACAATAAATTTTAATTTTAGATTCTCATTACTGAGATCTCAAAAATATGTCATAAATTGATTTTTTTTTATTAATGAAATTAATGAAAAAACCTATTATTAGTCCTTTCTACTCTGCATTGCTGGCTCAGATCTTTTGAATATATTTTACATTTAGGATATAAGTTAAACATTAAAAAATACTTTGCCAAATCCCCCGCTGAAAAAGCATCAGTGAAAAGTAGAAAAAAAAACATTCAACTGAGGTTCAGAGAGGAGCTAAGTCTTATAGTTGATATGCTTAAACAGGATTTTGGCAACACTAACGATGGAAACACTGCCAGAAGGGCATTTGAAAATGCTGAAACTTTCGCTGATATAACGGGAGTGTCAGTAGATGTAATTATTAGATTGAGGACAATCCTAATATCAGTATGCTCCTGTTATGAGTTATACTCAGAAAGTTTTGGCCAGTATTGCTATGAAACTACAGCTCTTATACTCAAAAACTATTGCTGGTATATGATTCCCTCAACTGTTCATTAACTCTTGGAATATGGTGTGCAGATATCTGAGGCATTAGAACTGCCAATTGGTTACTACTCTGAAGAGTCACAAGAGGCTCTAAATAAGGAAATTCGCAAAACTAAGTTAGATTAAACCATACAGCCAAGATATCAAGAAAGAATGTTATGAAAAACCAGTACCAATACCTCTTGATTAGAAGTGATCCTGTAATATCAAACATTTGTTTCAAAAAATACAAGGTTGAAAATGGAAAAACACTTACCCCTGAAGTTTTATCTTTGTTAATGCTATAATAATAAAATAAAGCTTTTTTATAACTAGGTTTTCTTTTTTTGTTTTCTTGAAAGAAAAATTAGATGAGATAAATATTTATTTTGTATTTAATATACTTTAATATTATTATAGTATTAAAAGATTTTTTGAATCCAATTTTTCTTTTTAATAAGTATATGTTTTGGTTTTGAAGAATTTAATTTTTTTAAATCAAGTCTTTGTGCGCGTAAAAGACTATAACACGTATACGCGTGTATACGTGTTAGAGTATTATACGCGTGTACGACCCTTAGGCACAAGAAAAATTTATATTAAAAACTATGTGGTATTTTTTTATATGGTATATTGGATCAAGGAAAGCGATTTATTTATTTAAGTCATATTTTGCGCGCGTAAATGACACTTACACACGTAAGCTTGCGTTGTACGCGTAAAAAATATTTTACAATAACAAATTTAAATTTTTTGACCCAAAATACGATAGTATTGATATATCACGCGTTTATATATGATAGTTATAAAATCTTTGCCGTTTTTTCACCTTTTTGACTTACTGTGCGCCGGGTTGCTCATTGGTTTTTTAAAGGGCCAGTATACGCAAGCCAGTGCTGGCGCAGCAACGTTTTGCTAGCGGCAAGCCAGCATTGATTGAATTTAGGGCCAACGCTGGAAATCAGCGAACGTTGCACTAAACGCTCATTATACAAAATTGTCCAATTAAACGACTTTTTTCATCAGTTTTTACTAATTTTACTTATTATATATATATATATATATATATATATATATATATATATATATATATATATATATATATATATATATATATATATATATATATATATATATATATATATATATATATATATATATATATATATATATATTTACAACTATTTTAATTATTATTATTATATATATAACTATTTTAATTATTATATATATATATATGCATATATATATATATATAAATTATATATAATTATATAAAAACTATTATTATACCTATTATGTTTGTTAGTTATGTTTTTTTTTTTACTTTTTGTTAAAATAGACATAAGTTAAAAAACAAAAAACAATTATTGAATTCGTATAATATATTGTTTGTTAATAATTTACAAGTTATTAAATTTGCATTAAAAATATATAAAAAATAAATGCATTAAATTTTTCATTAATAATATAAATACTTGTAAAGCTTATAATAATGTCGAATATACAATTAATATAAAACATAACATAAAAAACAGATCATGAAAGACTTTGAGAACATTATACTTTGTCAGATTCATCAAAAATAAAGTGTTCAAATCGTGGTAATGATAATCCAGATAAAGGTTTCAATGTAAATGATTGGGCAGTATAGCCACGATTTTTTGTTGAACTGGTTTTTTG